CATCGCAGATTATCGGCGAGCATCGCAGAACTGTCGCTTAATATTGCAGATTCATCTCCGTTCCACTATTTCTACAATTTTGTCGATGTCCATTGCAAAACTTTTCCGCGTTTTTCCGTTGCAAGACTATCGCAGATTCCTAAATACTGAGTGGGACTGGAGCTTTAGTTCACTCTTATGTCACTCTTGAACAACTTTGTCTTCACAAAAGTTACTTTTTCTGTTTTTATCTTTTAGTATCCAATATCATACAAGTATCCAATTTTCCTGCTAATGAAACAGAAGATACAATTTCAATGTTTTTCCGAAAGAAAAAAAATCACAGGAATGGAGGGTGCTAAATTTAAAATATTATCTTATGATGAACAAAGAAGAGTAGCGTTGATTGAATTTGAGGAGAGAGAAGGTAATTTTAGATAATATTAAATGTGAGGATTAATTATATCTATTGATTAGTATAAAGACTCATAAAATTCAGTATATTCAGATATTAATAAATCGATTCTAATTTTTGGCTTACAAATTCTTTCTGATAGCTTCTAATGGGCGTATATTACCTTACCTGGTGATTTAGGTTATCTTATATAGTGATACTTGTTGTTGTCGAGATTTTGTGTCCAATGACTCCCATGGTTTAAATTTAAGAAACTCATTGCTGAGTCCTGAGATTACCACAGGTATTAACAACTGATTTTAATGAATATTGGTAGGATTAGATTGATTGATCATTCCTCCTGTTTCTGAAACTACTGGCATGATGTGTACCATCTTGAATTATTCCCATTTGATACAGTGTTCACTACATGTTATATTTTTATAAAGTTGTATTCAGACTATTGAGAAAGAAAGAGATAGAATTCCATGGTCAAACAATCACAATTTTACCACATAAACTGACTGTAGCTGACTGTAATAACCCAAGAAAACACCTGAAAGTGACAGGATTTAATTCTAGAACTTCTACAGAAATGAAAGAAATGTACTTTGAAAGTAAAAAGAAAAGTGGCGGTGAAGCTGAAAGTGTTAATTTTGTATCTTATGAGACAATTGAAGGTAAGATAAGAGCTGGGGTGAATCTAGAAAATACCTGAGGGGAGGGGCACAAATTATCTCTCGAATGCGAGGCCGGATCCCCTTCAGACCAGAGACGTCTAGAATCCAACAGATTTCAGATGGAAATTGTTTATATATTACTTATAGTTGTGATGAAGGTAAGTTTAGGTACATTGGGAATAGAAAGTGAAACTGATATGTAATAATCATAGACAGTTTCACTTTTAATTTTTTTATCAGTCTACAAAGTGACTTGACTTTCGACTTTTTATTAAAAATAGCCTGTTTGTCCTCAATTGGTATTAAAGTGAAATTTCTGATGAGTTTGATATTTGAAATTTTCAAAACTCCATCCAATTCATTTCATTTGAAATAAAACTTGTTATGTTTAGATGCTGAAATAGTTTGTAGAAAACAACATACAATAGGAAATGATACAGTGTATGCTTCAAAATATGTACCACCACCTAAATGGAATCATCGGTTTTTGATAAGTAATATTTCTGAAGATACATCTTTGATAAAACTGAAAAATTTTTTAGAAGGAAAGTTAGGATGTGATACAACAAAAATATTATTTAACGAAGTAGGAGATAAAGCTATAGTTTATTGTTCATCTGATCAGTACGGTAGGATTCTAATTATATATTGGTAACAGATAACGCGGATAATTCTAGGTACACATGGGTTTGAAGGCTCAAATTTCGACGGTGAGCTATGAAGACTATTACTGATTGTCTTAGCTAAAACTTACCCGATTCTGAGACTAAAATATGATTTGTCAAAAAGAATGGCCTATCTGTCCTTTTATTGCATTCTGTAGCTACTTAATGCACAGTGACTTAAAGGGACAGATTCGCCATTCGTTATACCAATCATACCCTAGTCTCAGAAACGGAAATCTATTAGCTAAGCGAATCAGAAATAATGTTAGCAGCTTACAATTGAAATTGTAGCCGTCAAATCCATGTGTACCTAGAATTAACCACGTTTGAAAGTTAAAATGACGACTCGTTATGTATACCCAGAATTAACCACGTTTGAAAGTTACTCGTCATTTTAAGATACTTTGTCATATATATTATACAGTAATAGAAAAGGATATTCTATTAGATCTATAATTAGATATTTAAATTAGATCCAGAATCATCGTCTCTTTTTACTGATAAAAATGGTCGATATTTAAAGAAGGTATGGTTAAGAGGTAAATAGCCTTCATCAAGATTTTACCCGTGAATAAAACAACCCCGAAGTCATGAACTATTCATAAAGAAATATTTGGCGCGAGATTTACCAGAATTGGCTATGAAATTAAAAGTTAAGTTAACCATGGATGATGAGACAGTTGGAATAAGAGTTGAGGGAACAGAAGGAAGAATACAAGAAATTTTGGAGACATTAGAAAAGTTTAGTAACGGTATTGACTGTCAAGAGATAAAAATTGGAAACACAATTCATAAAAAGGTCTTAGAGTCAGAGAGGGGTTCAGAAATATTAAAAACTATTGAGGGACAAGCGAGATGTGTTATCTTTAAAGTTTCAATGAATGAAGAAAAGGCATTACTAGGCAAATTCGAAATAAATAGTGCAACTATTAACGTAATACAAGTTGATATTACGACTCTATCGGTGGATGTAATTGTTAATGCTGCTAATGAAAACCTACTGCTTATTGGAGGAGTTGCTGGTGCTATCAGAGACAAAGGTAAGTGTAGATATTAATAAATGTAAGTAAGTGGTAGAAGGTAGTTTGTTTTCATCATACGTAATAATAGATTACCCCAATAGGTCTAATATTGTTTTAT